TCACAAGTTCGAGCTCCGTTTAGGGGTCTGTGCTGACAGCTCAGAGCCTGGAGCCTGCATCGGATTCTGTGTCTCCCTCTCTCTCTGCCCCTCCCCTGCTTGTACTTTCTCTCTCTCTCTCTCTCTCAAAAATAAATGAAACATTAAAATAACGCAAACTAACCTTGTAATTTGGCAGTTTGTAGGATCAGACTTTGACATTTGTCTTTTGGTCTTCTCTGTTGGTCAGCTGCAAACGATAAGAGATCCCTTTACTGTAGCCTTAGAAAATCTCTGGTTTTTAGTCTGCTTTCATAGGAGGATTTAGGAATTAAAACTTAATTTCTTTTTCCTCCCCTCTCCTCCCACCCCCATGATCAAGAGTTGAGTCACAAGGTCTACCAATTGAGCCAGCTGGGCACCCCTGTTTTTCCCCTTCTTTAATTTAAGCCAGTTTTCACTGGTACTGATTTCTGTCTCTCCCAAGATGCATCTGGCAACATCTAAAGGTATTTTTGGTTGTCACAGCTGGGGAGGGGTAGGTGGGTATGTTACTTGCATCCAGTGGATAGATCCCAGGGATGTTGTTAAACATCTAGAATGCGTAGGATAACCTCCTGTAACAAGTATCCAGCCCAAAGTGTCCATAGTTCTCGGGTGAGGAAACCCTGTTTGGAGCTCCCCACCACAGTCAGAAGTAACCACCCGATTCCACAACCCTTAGTTCCTCAACTAGGCTTATACGCCCTTCAGCAATCTCAGCCCTTTAACCAAAGAAGTACTATGACATGATCAATTTATAAGAAGCACTGTTATTTTATGACTACTGCGAAGGAGGAATCACTGGCAAACCAGAATGATTAACACACCCTTTTTTGTGTGCCTTTCATAGTTTCTGTGGCAACAAATGCCAAAGCTACTCCATGGGCACTTTGTTCTAGATGACGGGATAATGTGACTGCTTCTCCACTGGACACCATGGGACACTAGCGTCATGCCCCGTCATACGTGCGGGATTTTCCCTTAAACCCCAAGGAGACCCAGTCACCACTCCTTGAAGTCTTCTTGCCTGCGACCGCTTCTGACACAGATTTCCGCTTTTCAGCGGCACAATTGTGTCTTGTGTGCATGTGTGTGTGCGCACACGTGTATGATCTATTGGGTTACTGTGAGGAACTGGGATTGCTGGTGACCACATTTAGGGCTACTTTTTTTTTTTTTCTTCAATGTTTTATTCCTTTCTGAGAGACAGAGACCGCATGAGCAGGGGAGGGTCAGAGAGACACACACACAGAATCTGAAGCAGGCTCCAGGTTCTGAGCTAGCTGTCCGCACAGAGCCCGATGCAGGGCTCAAACCCACGAACCGTGAGATCCTGACCTGAGCCGAAGTCGGATGCCCAACCGACTGAGCCACCCAGGCGCGCCTACTTTTTTTTTAATTAAAAAATTTTTTGTAACGTTTATTTTTATTTAAAAAATTTCTTTAATGTTTATTTTTGAGAAAAAGGGAGAGACGAAATGTGAGTCAGGGAGGGGCAGAGAGTGAGGGAGACACAGAATCTGAAGCAGGTTCCAGGCTCTGAGCTGTCAGCACAGAGCCCAGCGCGGGGCTCGAACCCATGAACTGTGAGATCATAACCTGAGCTGAAGTTGGTCGCTCAACCGACTGAGCCACCCAGGTGCCCCTAAATGTTTGTTTATTTTTGCAAGACAAAGAGAGCATGTAAGTGAGCAGGTGAGGGGCAGGGACATGGGGGCAAAGGATCCAAAGCAGGGTCTGTGCTGACAGCAGAGAGCCCCATGCAGGACTCGAACCCATGACCCATGAGATGATGACCTGAGCTGAAGTTGGTTGCTCAACCTACTGAGCCTCCCAGGTGCCCCTTGGGCTACTTTTAATAGCAGTCAAGTTAGGCTATACAAGTGGTCCAAAGAGGCCAGTACTGCTCACCAGTGTCCAGCACTAGGGGCTGTCTCTGGGCTGTGGACACTCAGCTGCTTGCACTCCAGCATGATGTCGCTGTTAACTGCTCTCCGCGCTCCTCACAGGCTGCTGCCCTTCACTCACTGGCTGGGGTGGAAGTGACTAGTTAGCTAAGGACAGCCTAGCACATGCTTGTGCTCCAGTCACAAGGAGGGATGGGAAAGGAATTATCTGGCATTTTTCAGCATCTATAATAGGCAAATCCTGCTGCCATCAAACTTTTATCATGTGGGGAGTTCCCCAAACATAGGAAAATGGCATTGATTCTGATTGGCTGCAAAGAACGGTAAAGATCCACTACTGCCCTCCACACTGCTCTCTCCCTTCTGCTCCGTACAGAAAACCACGAATAATCCTGGATTCCCTTCTTCCGGATTCTGTGTCCAAACTATGGTCCTTTTCCTTAAATTTCAAAAAGTGTTTTATTTGAGAGATGGGGTGGGGGGAGAGGGAGGGAGGGAGAGAACAAGTGGGGAAGGGGCAAAGAGAGAGGGAGACACAGGCTCCAGGCTCTGAGCTGTCAGCACAGATCCCAGTGGGGGGCTCAAACTTGTGAACTGTGAGATCATGACCAGAGCAGAAGTCAGACGCTTAACCGACTGAGCCACCCAGGAGTCCCTAGTCTTTTTTTCTTAATGTAAGATTTGCTCCCAGCGTGGGGCTTGAACTCACCCCCCTGAGGTCAAGAGTCACATGCCAGGTGCCCCCGTAATACCGTGTTGAACCATTTCTTTTCCTCTCTACTGTTGATAACGTTGTACAGCGGACTGTTCTCCATTCCATCCGGGTTCCTGTCCTGGCCTCCTCTCCACACCTACAGGCTCTCCCTTCCGATCCACAGTCCCTTGGCCGGCCACCCTCTAAAACTTCCTTGCTTACAGCCTTCCGTGGCTTCTTTTTGCACTTAGAATAAAACCCAAAATCTTTACTAAGGAGGATCAGAGAGTCTCCTCTTTTGTTTCTCTCTTTTTGTTTATTTTGAGAGACCGCGTGCATGGGGGGGGGGGTGGCAGAGAGGGGAGAGGGAGAGAGAATCCCAAGCAGGCTCTGTGTTCAGCACAGAGCCCCATCTCTTGAACCGTGATCACATGAACCATGAGATCATGACCTGAGCTGACCTGAAGATGCCCAACTGACTGAGCCACCCATGCGCCCCAAGAGAGTCTCCTTTTATTCTAAAAAAATTAATGGTTTGGACAATAAGTTATTGGCCCTTTACCTGTAAGGCCCTGATTTTGTTTACATTTTTTAAAATTTATTTTTTATTTAAAATTTTTTAATATTTTATTTTTGAGAGAAAGACAGCATGAGCAGGAGAGGGACAGAAAGAGGGAGACACAGAATCTGAAGACAGGCTCCAAGCTCTGAGGTGTCAGCACAGAACCTGACATGGGGCTTGAACCCACAAATCACGAGATCATGACCTGAGCCGAAGCCGGACGTCCAGCCGACTGAGCCACTCAGGCACCCCTGTTTATATTTTTAAAAAGTGTTTATTCAGAGAAAGAGAGAGGAGAACGAGAGAGAAAAGGCACGAGTGGGGGAGGGGTAGAGAGAGAGGGAGACACAGAATCCAAAGCAGGCTCCAGGCTCCAGGCTCCGAGCTAGCTATCAGCACAGAGCTTGATGTGGGGCTTGAACCCACAAGACCTGAGCTGGAGTCGGACGCCCAACCGACTGAGCCACCCAGGAGCCCCTGTAAGGCCCTGCCTTCTGGGCCCCACTCCCTGACCCCCTGACTCAAACCCCCCACTCAGGCTCATCTCCTCTTACGTTTCATCCCTGCTCTGGGGGCTTTGCCGGTTCTGTTCTTCTTCTGCCTCCTGTTCTCCACACAGTTTTCTCCTTATCCTTCAAGTCTTAGCAGAATGAGCATCTGAGATGGCTTTTCTCACCTCTCTCTTTTTTTAAGGAATCTTTATACTCCGTGTGGCACTCGAGTCCACAACCCCCAGATCCAGAGTTGCTCACTCCACCCCCTGAGCAGACCAAGTGCCCCCTCCTCACTTCTCTACCTGAACAGCCCCCATCCCTGTTCTCTGCATCATTTCCTCGCTCGTTTCTTCCATAGAGTCTCCAGAATTTGATATTTAAAAAAAACTTATTGTGAGAGACCAGGGGAGGGGCAGAGAGAGGGAAATAGAATCCCAGGCAGGCTCTACACCATCAGCGCAGAGCATAAGGTGGGCCTCGAACTCACAAACCATGAGATCACGACCTGAGCCGAAACCAAGAGTTGGATGCTTAACCGACTGAGCCACCCAGGCGCCCCCAGAATTTTGTGTTTGTTCTGTCCACTTGTTTATTGTTAATTTCGGTCTTGATACCAGAATGTAAGGTCCCTGAGGGTATGGGTTATGTGTGTCGTCTTCACCAGTGTGGTCTGGGGTCCACAGTTCCATATTAATGAATAATACATTAAACAGAAGAGGAAAATTCCCAAGGCCTTTCCTCCCTGACTCCCCGGGAAGGGTAAGCTCCCTTGCAGAACAGAGTCAGACGCTCCGTACTCGTATTCCTTGTACGTCTCACAACTGTACTTTGATGGCCATTTGTGTAATGTCCCTATTGCCAGTTTCTCCTTCTAGATTATACTTCCATGAGAGCAGAGGCAGCTCTTTCTCGCCATGCCCACAACAAGGCAGGTCGGTAGGCATGAGTCTGCTGAGTCTTACGGAGGCTCGTGTGCCTGGGAGCTGGGGAGAGGAGGCAGGGGGGACCCTGGCCGCCTGGCACAGGGGAAACAGGAGGGGCAAGTGCACGGGCTCACGGCGGGCTTCCCGTGCGGGGCCATTATGTGGCTTGGTCTTTCTCTTCTGCGGAATTTCCCGGGGCTTCCTCTGCTTCACTCTTATGGTACTTAGTGGTTTCTTGAACTTCAGTGAGTGTGGGTACATCGAAGACCCAGGCCTTTAGCCAAGGCAAATGGCAGGGATGACGGCAAGGCCTCTGGGTCCCCAGGAAGAGCTGGGAAATGTGCAGAGAAACACTTGTAGCTGATGCCCTGACTCGTTTCTGTGTTGTCTTTTAACCAGCCGACTTGAGCACTACTGGCTCAGCGAATGTCACAACCTCAATCCAGGCTGATGCCAAAAACAGTGATGGAACGCAGATTATAAGCCCGCCCCTGGCAAGCACGGTCCCAAAACTCACTCAGAAAACGGAGCCGTCAGTCCCCACATTGGACGCAACCAGCAAGTCACCCAATGCCTCGTCTTCAAACCCAGCTCAGAAAAACAAAGCTGTCACGACCACTGTCAAAGTGACCGAGGCCCACACAACTCATCGCCCAGAGACTCAAGATTCAAGCCAGCCTACACCTTCACCCACCCTAAAGCCCACGAAGCCCGACACCACACACAGCCAGCCAGCCGGATCCGGAGCCCAGAGTGGCCCCAGTGTTTCCACCGACCACGCGAACATTCAAGGCATGACGCCGAAGACAGTGCCTCCACTGATGAACTCTGCCAGCACCGCACACACTCCTTCCACGGCCGCCCCAGCAAGTCCTCAGCAGCCCCCTGCAACGGCTGTTTCGAATCCCTCAGGTAGCTCTCCTGAGGAACCAGACAAAAACACTACAGCTTCAAGTAGTGTACGCACCAGTCAGAGTCCCGGCTCCACATTACAGGGGGCGCCTACCGTGCCAGGTAAGTTATGCGCTTTTTTTCTCCCCAAGCAAGAAGGAACTTCTGAATGCTTATGTTCTCTACAGTTGCTCAGCTGGAGGACAGAGTTCACGCTAAGGGTTACACGCTGTGACACCCCCGCCTTCATTCAGGCCCGGGGTCCCCTTTCGGGGCCGTGCAGAGGCCAACAGTGCTGTGTTATTCTGATGAGAGCTTGGTGTTTTGGCCTGCTCGGTTGAGTGCATAAGCAAGCCAACGGTCTGTTCATGGGTAAGACTTGGGTGATTGCAGGGGTGGAGCATTAAAAGTATTCCAGAGCAGCGGTGCCTGGGAGACTGTTGGTTAAGCTCAGGTCATTTGGGGCTTTAAAGCACAAAACGGCAAGATAATGACCAGAGCCAAAATCAAGAGTTGGGTGCCCAACTGGCTGAGCCACCGAGGCACCCCTACATTTAAAAAAAATGTTTATTTTTGAGGGAAGGGGATAGAGTGTGAGCAGGGGAGGGGCAGAGAGAGAGCAAGACGTAGAATCTGAAGCAGGCTCCAGGCTCTGAGCTGTCAGCACAGAGCCCGATGTGGGGCTTGAACCCACGAGCCCTGAGATCATGACCTGAGCTGAAGTTGGACACTTGACCAACTGAGACACCCAGGTGCCCCTCAGTTTCCTTATTTATATAATAGGTTAATTAGGGCACCATCTTCGTAGGGGTATGGTGAGGAATAACTAAGAAAGTAACTTGGAAGCACTCGGGACAATGCTTCCGATGGTGTAAGTAGTGCTCAGTTAGCATTAGCTCTCGTGGCTGATGTGTTTGCCATTGTGACTGCTTTTATTGGGCCTCACACTGGCTCATCCAGTCTACCCGTCCTGGAATATGTTATAGGAATTGACTTCATGTGTTTACCTCATCTTCCTCATGGCCTTGCTTATTACTGCAGCCTGCAGTCTGGGTGGGAGAGATCAGAGAACCTTAGGGAGCTAAGAACAAGAGAGACTATCCTCTATACTCAACGTGGGACTCAAACTCACTACCCTGCAATCGAGAGTTGCACAGTCTTGGACTGAACCAGCCAGGCGCCTCCTGCTCGTCTTTTCTCAGAGCTTTTGCTTTCCCAATCACAGCATCGTTGGTGACCTCACAAGGAAATCAGCAGTATTCCAGCAAGGTGCCAGCTGCCCCTGGGACCCCTTCCTCCGTCGCTAGGACCCCTTCCTCCGTCTCTGGGACCCCTGCCTCCGTCGCTGGGACCCCTGCCTCCGTCGCTGGGACCCCTGCCTCCGTCGCTGGGACCCCTGCCTCCGTCGCTGGGACCCCTGCCTCCGTCGCTGGGACCCCTGCCTCCGTCGCTGGGACCCCTGCCTCCGTCGCTGGGACCCCTGCCTCCGTCCCTGGGACCCGTTCCTCTGTCCCTGGGACCCCTTCCTCCATCCCTGGGACCTCTTCGTCGGAGGCTCTGCTGCCTGCAGGCCCTTCCTTGGGACCTGTGGCCACATCTCCTGTCACGGGACCTGGAGGGTTCAGCACTCACTTGGCTCCAGCTACCCGCCACGACTCCAGCAGGTCTTCTCCTTCCTCGACTCCTAGGAATGATGGGGCACTGCCAGTGGAACGGGTAAGAGAGACCAGACTCAGATGGAAGGTGGCTCTAAGAGGTGTTTCTCATCTTCCTTCCCTACCAGGGCCGCTGGCGAGGCCTGTGAGAGGCAGTCAGCCACTCCCCCCTCTCTCCCTTGCTTTGCCAGACAGCTGGACAGCCAGGGACGCACCCGGCTCTGTCGCTTGGCCGGCCCAGCCAGGGGGAGGGAGCAGTTAGTGATGAGACCCTGCCAGGCTGAGCCTGAATGTGAATCTCAGTGGCTTCTTCTAGATACAGTGCGGACATCCCGAGAATCCAACTGAGAAGATGCTCATTTTGAACTTCACGAAGACCAGCCCCTGTGTGAGTACCCTGCTAATCCAGGCTCTGCCCCCAACTACACCCCCTAACTGCAGTTTAGCAGCAGGGTTAGGGAAGCTAGAAGGGAATGGGGTGTTCATTTTCCTGCCCTTGTTTTTTTCCTGGTGGGAAGTGGCCCCTTCCAGCTGACGGAGGGACAAAGTGAAGTTCAGACTCCTCTCAGTCAAGTCCATGGGGCTGCTGCCGGGCCAGAAGTACCCCAGTCTCCTGGGCTTGGCGCTGTGTAATTGTTCACGTTCTCAGAGTCTGGAGACCTTAGTCCTACTTCCTGTTTGCCTCTTGTTCAGATTGTGATTTAGTTAAATCGATCTCTTTGGTCTTCAGAGGCTCCGGTTGAAAATGAGAGACTCAGTCTGCCTAACTTTTCCGGCTCTAATAGTCTGGTTTTATATTTGCTGGTTCATCTGACGGCCTCAGTGGATGAACAGCATGGAGATAATCTCCTTCTAGCCTGAGGAGTCAGTTCCTAAGCAGTGGGGAGCGACTGCCAGCACTCAGGGTGGTATGTGTGTCCTGAGGTGGGGGTGTCAGCCTGCCTGTCGCTCCATTTTCCGGAAAGGGCGTGTCCGATTTGCCCAGGTTGCTGCTCCCTTCTGCTGGCACCTGTGAGTGCAGCTGATGAGTGGCTCACGGCTGCCCCCTCCTGGTCAGTGACTTTTTGCAAACACCCCCTAGAAAGTAGAACGGAATTAAGACTGGCTTTTTTTTTTTTTTTCTTCCCCCCGATGTTTTATTTATTTCTGAGAGAGAGAGACCACGTGAGCAGGGGAGGGTCAGAGAGAGAGGGAGACACAGAATCCGAAACAGGTTCCAGGCTCTGAGCTGGCTGTCAGCACAGAGCCCGACGCGGAGCTTGAACCCACAAACTGTGAGATCATGACCTGAGCCGAAGTCGGACGCCTAACCAACTGAGCCACCCAGGCGCCCCAAGACTGGCTTTCTAAAGGACGGCAAATGTGGGTTTACAACATTTTAATACCACCTGTATTTTTTTTTTTTAAACAGTTGTTTTTCCTTTGGGTGTTCGTTTGCTGGGATTTTCCAAGTGAATTTTACAAAAGCATGCATTTAGATCAGTTTTATTATTATTTTTTAATGTTTTATTTATTTCTGAGAGAGAGAGAGAGAGACAGACAGACAGCATAAACAGGGGAGGGTCACAGAGAGGGAGAAAGAATCTGAAACAGGCTCCAGGCTCTGAACTGGCTGTCAGCACAGAGCCTGATGCGGGGCTTGAACCCACGAACCGTGAGATCATGACCTGGGCCGAAGTCGGACGCTTAACCGACTGAGCCACCCAGGCGCCCCAAGACCAGAGTTTTAAAGGGAACGGTGCTGCCCTGGCCTTGGGCTTATTGGACAAGGCTCAAGAATCCCACTGACGCATGCCCAGCCATTCTCAGGCCCTCTTTTTCACTGAAACTTGCCAGGTTGTGTGCTTGGTTGGGAGAAGCGTTTTTCCCCCCAGTGTGCTGTAAAAGGAGGGTTGGAAGTCCCGTATCTCTGCCTCATGTCAGGCTGAGGAATTGGGAAGCCTAGGAAATCCCAGGTAGAAACCTAAGGATGGTTTGTGGGGTTCCTGAGGTGAGCCACACCACCAGTCCTTTACTTCATCCATCTCTGTACCTTATTCCACAATCAGGTCAGAGAAACACGAGCTTGTGCCTCTAGGTGACATGGCCAGACCTGGTAAAAGCTGTCCACGCTTTTCTTCCTCACTCTCAGCCCTAAAGCCATGTCAGCCATACTCTGTCTCTTTAGCGGTACAGAAGACCCCCTTCCAAGATGTCCCCATGTGCATCTTCAAGATCACCCACAATGCCCTGTTCAGTGACGGCCTTGCCTTTTTCCGTCAGCCTGTTGTTTATGGCTTTGTGGTCAGCATCTTAGTTTAGGGAAGGGTGTGCGTGTTTCCAGTTTGGGATAGATATCCTTGGGCTGAGAGCTGGGGCTTCCCCCCTGGGGTCTTTGAACTGGGCGTCAACATCTGGAAGGTTGAGAGAGCCTGAGGGTGGGGCTGGGGAGGGGGTGGCAGTGGTTGCTGGGAAGGGCTTCCACAGGCCCTTCTGGGGAGATGCTAAGGGCATTAGGTCGTGACCTCTGGTGACCCCTGAAGGGAGAAAAGAGGGCCGTTAGGTGAAAGGTATTGTTCAGCCATAGACACGATAAACGGGGAGAGGGGACCCGGGAAGAGATGCGCAGGAGTCCGAGAAGGCAGGGACTGGCCCAGCTCGGCACCTAACCTGTGACATCTTCCAGGCCTGGGAGTGGCCCCAGTTGAGGGAAGAGAGAAGTGGGTTCACACCAGGCAACAGCCTTCTCCTGACCTTGGGTCTGATGGGCTCCCTGCAAAGCCTAGGCTGCTGTTCTGATCCCTGAGGAATCCCTTGTCTCCCCATGTCAGGCGAAGAACTTCTCGGATGACAAACTGGTCAGACTGCTGTGCAGAGCAGCAAAAGCCACCTTCAACCCAGCTCAAGATGAGTGCCACATACAGCTGGCACCTATTCCAGAGGTCCAGGCGGTGGCGATCAAAGGAATCACTATCCAGAGTGAGTTGAGGGGAGGAGGCGCCGAGGCCTACGGGGGGTGGGCATAGGGCAGGGGCTGACGGCTCAGGAGCCACGAGGAGGGCTGGTGCTTCCCCAGTTCCCTAGGAAGGGTCACTCCGAGAGAGACTGCACTCAGGAGGCTGGGGTACGGCACGTCCTCTTGGGGGGCATGTCCGTCCCGCTCAGGTCACTGTGAGCTGCACCACTAGCAACGCCTCTCCTCCCCACAGCAAGCCTCCGGCCCACGGACGTGTATGAATCGCTGAAAGACAAATGGGACGAGCTGAAGGAGGTAAGCGGGCCCCTCCCGTGTGCGGGGCTGAGGCCCAGTTCCCGAAGTCCACAGTTACTCTGCTCTGCAGCGCTTCTCATCGTAGAGGAGCCTCGCAGGGACGATTAGACGGGACGGTCGGGTGACAGAATCAGTCCCCCAGCAGATGCCAAGCAGAAGGGCTTGTAACTGATCGTGAGCGACCTACGTTCCGTTTTCTGCCACATAACCTACTCCTTCCTGGCAGGCGGGTGTCAGTAACATGAGGCTTGGGGACCAAGGGCCGCCCGAAGAGACGGAGGACCGGTTCAGCATGCCCCTCATCATCACCATCGTCTGCATGGCCTCCTTCCTGCTCCTGGTCGCCGCCCTCTACGGCTGCTGCCACCAGCGCCTCTCCCAGAGGAAAGACCAGGTGAGGGCTTCGCCCCCCTCGCCAGGGAAACGGGCCGCTTCACCAGATGCCTTCACCCCATCACCCCCATATTCGAGGAGAGTGAGGGGGCCGTGGACCCCTTCTGACAGGCAGTGACCGCCCCTTACAGGAACTGCGAAGTTACGGGGGAACTGGAGAGTTCCACGGAGGGGAAGGGAAGATCGTGGGCTGTGGAGTCAGACTTGGGGTAAAGCCCTAGCTCGGCCTCCTGTCACCCGCATGGCCGCGGGTACGCCCTGGTCCCGGTTTCTCATCTGCACGTGGGGAGAATGTTCACCCCGCAGAGCTGCTCTGAGGGTTCCCTGAAATAAGGGACCTTGCCATACATGTCTGACCGCGTGTTTTACCCACCTTCCTCAATTCCCATCCTGACTGGCCCATCTGGACACGTCGTCCTCACCCCTGGTGGCACGCTGTGGGGACAGGTAGAGAAATTCCCATACCCACCTCCTCACACGCCAGTTGAAACAATCTGAATCTGAATGTTCAGAGCTTCCTAGGTGACTCGACTGTGTGACCCAGGTTGTGTCTCGGCCAAAGCCGAGAGGAGAGTGCGGTCTCCAGGTGGCTCCTGTCTGCAGCCGAGACGGCTGTAGGTCATGCCGCACCCATCTTGCTCGGCCTTGGAGGGGTCCTGGGTCACCCGGCCTGATGAAAGTCAATTCCAGTCCTTCCTGATTCAGTACAGCGGGTGGAGTGAGGCAGATGCCTGGACAGTAAGGTTTGGAGGGAAGGAATGGAGGAGAGAGATCAGAGGACTCAGAGTCTGTTTCCGCGGACTTCATGGATTTGCCAGTAGGGGAAAGGTCAAGTGAGCTGGGAATTCTAGGGTTCTGGGCAAGGCCGGTAGCCACGATGACCTCCGGGAGCACTTAATGTGCACATTAGCCCAACCAGGGGCTCCTAGATTGTGGGGCTACATGTGTAACAGGAAGGCTGCAGGCCCTTAAACGTTGCCCTTTCTTCTTGGGTCATCGTCCCTGTCCTAGCAACGACTCACGGAGGAGCTGCAGACCGTGGAGAATGGTTACCATGACAACCCCACACTGGAAGTGATGGAGACCTCCTCAGAGATGCAGGAGAAAAAGGTGGTCAACCTTAATGGGGAGCTGGGGGACAGCTGGATCGTCCCCCTGGACAACCTGACCAAGGATGACCTGGACGAGGAGGAAGACACGCACCTCTAATCAGGTCTGCAGGTGGCCCCCGACAGTGCCACAGCGCTCCAGACTGAGCCACCTCAAGTGCCATTCGGACAGGGGAGGAAAGTCCTTCCCAGCTGAGGGAGAGACTGGTGAGGGAAGGAGACTTGAAGGCTCCCTCCTCCCTACCCCACAGGGCCTTAATTTCCCCTTTTCAGACTGAACAAGTCGCATTCTGTCTAGATTCGTCTTGTAAGATAACCCACTAGTGCCTGAGCTCAGGACCGCTGGAAGGTGAGCGGGAGCTCCCCGACATGACCATCTAGTAGGATCCCTTCACCTCACATACGAGGGGACTGAGGCCTGACCGGGGGTGTAAGGTCCAGCTCACACAGTCCCTGGTGACAGGATGACACCATATTCCCTCTCCTGGTCTGGAGTGTGCTGCCACCCCGCCCCACCGCTGCCACCACCCTGCGCCCTCCCCTCCGATCCTCCCCCAGTGGGACAGAAGGGACAGCAGCGCCAGATCCTGCCTTGGGATGACCTGGTTCCTTGAAAGTACGGGTCCAAGCTGTCTTATCTCCTGTCCCCCAGCCTCGCCTCCCAGTGTTCCCGTCCCCTTTTTGCCCGCCTCCCCACCCTGTCCCAAGGGCCACTGGGACTCACACAGGTCATTCATGACTTTGAACCCCTTGTCCTGGATTCTGGCTTCCTTGCATTCGAGTGGGACTCCACCTGCACCAGACTCCCATGTGAGCGAGGTCTGCTTCAGGGATGCACCTGCGGGTGAAGATGGGTCCTGGCCCAGCGCCCAGGGCACTCTTTGAAGGGGCTCCCGGGAACTTGCTTGGCTTCCTACTCCCACCGGGAACTAGAGTCTGCAGTAGCTATGCAGGCCAAGTGCTTCTATTTTGTCGTTCAGTGCTCAGCCAGTGGGGTTAGGACCCACGCTGGGGAATCCATTTGAGACCTGGCAAGAATGATAGCTGGGGGCAGACTTTCCCGGGGCCCAGTCCACAGAGAGGTGTCTTCATAGACAATCGATTGACAGGAACGATAGGCTTTACTCTCGGTTCCATAGGAAACTCAGGGACTTTTACAAGTTGCTGAGAGTTTTGTTGTATTTGTTTGTGTTTTAGTCCAGCCTCCTACTGCCCAAAGCCAAAGCTCCAGCCGTTGGGAGACTTTACAATTAACCATTCTCCCTGATTTCTGGTTCTCCTGTGCCATAGTGCAAGAAAGGCCTAGAAAGTGTGATGCATCTTCAGGTGCACAGGGGCAGCTTGGGGGGGGGAAGGGCTGTGGGGTTCCCGGTGACCTCTCGCTGTTCTGGCACTGAGCTGGGCCTGGCCATGTCCCCTTCTCTGCCCTTAGCAGGGCTACCCCAGTTCTGCGGTTTCTGGTGGCATCTCAGGGAAGCAGCACCATGGAGGAGGGGTTTAGAGGGAGCTCAGCGGTCAGCTCCCAAGCAGAAGGCACCTGAGGACTGGGCAGAGGGAGGTTTAATCTGGTTTTCTGGGAAAAGGGAAGCCCATGCGGAACTTTGCCCGCTGTCTCTCGTTTCTGGGTATGACTTCCTGACACCAACTAGGAAGATTAGCAGAACTGCTTCAGAGACTGAAAGTGGTAAGGTAATTTTCAGAGCGTAGGTCAGAACCTCAGAGCCTGGAGGCCCAGGCTCTGATGGTCCTGATGAAATAGGCGGTCTGCTTTAGGATAGCTTTTTTTTTTTTTTTTTTCAAGGAGCTTAGTGAGGGAAGATCTCTGTCCTTCCCTGGCATAGCCTTTGGCCTTTGTTATCTTAGGGGAAAAGAAATGCCAGGAGTTCAAGTAGGGCCTCCAGCAAGTTTCTAAGAGCTGGAGAGATGCTAACAAGGAACCAAAAGCATTTGCACTGATCCTCCAGCATTTGGCAGTTGGCAGGATGGAGAACAATGCTTGTTTGGGGAAAGACCAGAAGAAATCTTGTTACACTGAGAAGAGATCTGTTCGCTTCCTTCCTGCCCAGCATTTGGTTCTTTCCACCCAGCGGGTTTCTGTGGAAGAGGCCAGGCTGGATTACTGCTCCTTTGCTGATTCTGGGTCACATTTTACCAGCCAGGCCTTCAGACAAGAGACCGCAACTTTGCCTCCACAAATAGAGCAAAGGCTATAACCCCCAAGGCCTCTTAGGGAGAGAGACGATGTCTGGCAAGGACTAGAGTGAAAATTATACTTGGGCAAGAGGAATGACTATGTTTCTTTTCTGTCCAAGAGGAGCCTTGGGAGGCTTTGGGCTGGTTCACAGGCTCCTTTTTGGTGCATCCAGACTGGGTTACACTGGCCTTTTAGGGCAACTTTAGAATCCAGTACCTTGCCTGGGCTTGCTCTTGCCACTAGACCTCTGGGTCAAGGGCCATACAGCCACGCATGTGCAAAGCTCCTCTTTCTCCCACATCTACACTGGGTTCTAAATGCTGTCTGGTAAGTCAGATGCTGGGGCTGAGAAGAGAGAACAGCAGGAACTCAGCATGACTTTCAATAGGCTGCACCACAGAGAGGTGATAAACTTTACGTCAATGGCAGATTGGTTTCCCTAAGGTGGGTAAAAGGCCAGAAGCCATGGCTGATGACTGGATGGAACCGAGCCGGATGCGCGCTCCCCTGCGAACGGGGAGGGGCGGTGCTCCGGGAGGAGGTACAGAGCAGGCTCTGCATCGCAGGACAGAATACGGGTTGAATCTAGTCTAGGCGCCAGATTCTTTTGCCCCCTCTTGATAAGGAAAGCAGGCAGGAAGTTTATTTAAATCACCTGAGCTGTAACCTTTTTGACAAGATACTGGAGAAACTTGGAAGAACGAGTCCAGGCTGATACAGCTATACGTCTTGATAATGTAAATACAGCAGCCACACGTTAATCCACCGTGCACTGCTTTAAGTGAATACACATTGTAAAAACATTTGTTAAGTGAGGTGGCTTTTAGCCCCCCCCTCTGAAACAGGAATGTAAATGTCTATTTCACTAAAAATGACAAGTTTTTTCTTTAATGAAAAATGAAATATAAGACAAGCTGATGACAAAGTTTGTCTTACAGATCAGGCATCTTTATTTTTAAATATGACTCTCACTCCCCCTCCTCAGCTAAATTCTAGCCTATCACAGGCTTGGAGTCCATATGCACTTGTTAGAAAGTGACACTCTAGTCCTAGGGAGAGGCTTTTAGAGACTGAGTCCAACCTTTGTTTTGTTTTTACAGAAAAAGACACCGAAGTGCAGAAAGAGAGAGTGACTTGGCCAAAATCACATGGTTAGTGACAGAAACAGGATTAAAACACCAGTGCTGTGGGCCTTAGAAGGAATCAGGAAATTAAGGACAGCTACCAGAATGACACCGAATGCCCTTCTCAGATCTTACCCTGCAGCAAGGCTAGGGAGGATGTGAGGACAGCAGTGGGAAACATCACTGTCCTTCTCTTCCCCTGAGTTACTTAGGTCTCAGACTTAAATGAACGGTAAGCTTTTCTGTCAACACAGTTATGAGCTCTGATCTGGATCTTCTACTGGTAGGACTGAGGCTCAAAGGAAACAGGCTAGGGGAAGGCAGAGGGGGCGAGAGGAAAGCGATGGCCTATTCATCACTCACTAGCAGCTCGGCTCAGGTTGGCGAAAACCCAATACTGAGTGGAAGGGAGGAAATTACTATTTGAGGTGTCTTTTGTGATTAGTGAATGTCAAATAGTTTGCCCAGGAGACTGCGGGAGCGTGTGTCTTCATGGACAGGGGTCTAAAGTACACTGGAATTTACTGAGAGACTTGTTTGTAAAGACTATACTTAATTATTGCCATTTTCTTACAAAAGTATATTTTGGAAAATTGTATACTGTCAATTAAAGTGCTTTTGTATAAGCTGGTTCAAGCCCTGTTGGTTGGACTTGACTGATTGGCTTGTGTTCTTCCCGTGTGTGTGAGGCTCATTGCTGAAATACCCAAGATATGAGGCGCTCTGGGGAGTGCAGCGCCCTCCTGCTCTTCCGCGAGATGGGGATGCAGAGAAAGTGGGGGAAGCTCAAAGAAAGGAAGGGGATCCTGGAGGTGACGATGGCTCTCCAGATTATCTTGGGTTGTTGGAGTGATTGGAACTGAATTTTCACTCACACTTTTATCAATGTTCCACCTTCCTCCTTTCCTCCACTTCTGCCTCAGATAACAATTATGAATCACCCACCACTAAAGACCCTTGAGCCCTGGTCAGGTATGAAACACTGGCATGGAGACAAAACAAATAAAAGTATAAAAAAATAAGTTCTGTCCTGGCCCTGTTACTGCTCACAAAAGGGTGTTTACTTGTCCCAAGAAGCCTCTCCCCTGTCCCTTGTCTATAGAGATGTTAGTGAAGATGAAAGTTTGGGAAAGGAAGCCCTCAAAACCCCTCCTGATTCCCTCTCCTGGGGTGGTATTCTCTACCTATCCATTCCTCACTGGAAGGGGAAAACTCTCCCATCTTCACAAGGTAAACAGATGACTCTAGGTCCACTTTCATGTTGCTATACAACAATCTCTTCTCTTTGCCTGGCATCTTACAGTTTATAAAACATTTTTTACATTTCTTGTTTGGGAATTGGCACTTCTCTACCAATAGGTAGAAATTAGGTACCGTGACAAAGGATTCTGACATGACACTGCTATGTAAGGGGTTAGTGTGAGTCCTTGAGTTTCTCTTCAGTCTTACACATTAATGCCAGGGTTCCCGCAACAAGGTACATTTCTAGAACACACTGTTACGATATGATTTTGCTTTTTTGTAGGGGAGTTCTGAAAGCCAGTTATCACTCTTTTAACCGTGGCGAGTTGGGACAAGGGGTATTTTGAGGTTAGCTTCAAGAGTGGGCCAAGAATACAGAAAGGAACTCAAGCAGGCCCCTTGGCCATGCCAGAGGCACACTGTTCTAAGAAGAGAATGACTCACAGTTTATCGCTGGCCACATATTAGACCTGAGGCTCCGAGGCTCCATTCTCTTCCTGAATAGGTCATTCACCCTGCTCCCGGCCAACCAAGAAGCACTCACTCAGTAGTCCTTTCTAGCGCGCTAGGCCTCTGTCACTCACGCCCCCCCAATCCCCTCACACGTCCCCTCACCTCCCATCCTACCAGCTCGGTCCCAAACCACTTACTTCTGTATCCTAAGGGAATCCTAAGGGAAAAAAGTAATAATAGGACTGGTACTATAATTAACATGTGATACATACTGAGATAGTATTTTTTAAAGGCCTTGCCATTTTACAGATTTAAGAATCAGTGGGATCCTGGCAAACAGGATCTGCTGCCAACATTTACTTAGGAGATGGAGAAAGTGAGGCAGAAGACTTGAGAGTGCCCAGTGCCACACAGAAGTTCCTGCTGGATCTGGACGTAATCCTAGGACTCGTGACTGCCCTGGGCTACCCATCCTGTGCCCAAGCTTTCAGAGGGCGGCTGTACCTATGTGCGCTACAGATCTTGCCAAGTGCCCTGATTTCCCTGCTTGGGATTTGCCAAATACCAAGACCTACTGGCACAGCAGTGCACAGGCACCTATAGCTTTCCCCTCTTCCCTGTAATAACGTTTCTGCAAAGGATGTAACTGCCTTTGCTCTGCCTCGGTGAGGGCTTGCTGGGGGGGGGGGTGTGTTTCCTCTGTGAACATCAGAAGTTTCAGAGTAAGAATGATAGAGGTTTCAGGCATCGTGTTCTACTGTCCCATCTTCTATGTGCAACAGAAAGCCAGATTTCTCCCTTTTCTTCCGAGACCTTAAAGGTGAAACACGGGGCATATGTGGTGCTAAAGGAAAGGGGGAACCTAAGTGGCTAGTCCTTAAGCCTAAGCAGGGACTAACTTCAGGAGGGCCAGCAGTTGGCTGAAGGACTGGTAGTAAATCATGTTGCCCTCCTTAATGAGGAAAAGATTTTCTCCATTTCCACAGCTGACTTTCTAAGCATGCGAGTGTGGGCACACATGGCCACCCCCTGCTGGAGCTGGCTGCCGCTGGTGGAGCAGGGGCTCTCTCGAGAGGGGGCACAGCCAGCTCCTGTTGGTGTGTGGGCAGCTGCCGTCAAGGCTTCACCATAAAGCTCTCTTGGCTTATCTTCCCACCAGAGGTCAATATGTGTTGAGAGAGAGCAAGTCATGTCCCACATTTTGAGCCTTTTGAGTTAATTCTCTGGAGAATCAACCAAGTAAAAGCTAATTTCTTTTTTTGTTTTTTAAGTATTTTTAAGAGCTTGCTCTATTTTTTTTGTTTCTTTGTTTTGAGAGAGACAGAGTGATCAAGGGAAGGGAAAAAAGAGGGAAGGGGGGGCGGAGGGGGAGAGAGAGAGACAGAGAGAATCCCAAGCAGGCTCTGAACTGTCAGCCTGGAGCCCAGTGTGGGGCTCGAACGCAAGAAACGTCAGATCATGACCTGAGCTGAAATCAAGAGTCTGATGCTTAGCCGACTAAGCCACCTGGCACCCCTGGAAAGGCCAATTTCTTACCTGATCACCGCACATCATGTTTTTCTGTTTGAAAAACAAAAATGTTACTTATGAGCCATGCTCAAATCAAAGCACATTCTAAAAATGAAAGGTATGTAGTAAGAGGCATTATTTGATTTATAAATTGAGAAAACAAAATCCCGATTTTGGACAAAATCAGTTGACAGCTAATGCTGTCAGAATGCAGGATTGGAAACCTGAGAATGTAAATGAGAGCAGGACATGAAAAGGGTCAAGAGGAGGTCCTGTTGAGCCCATCTGGAGAACTCATGATCTTTGTTCGCCATATCTGAGTTTATTTTTTCCAAGGTTCAGCCCTTAAAGTTCTTTCCCCTTTATTAGGGACAGCGGATCTAGAATCTTTCAAAACTTTCTAACAACTCCAACTCTCTTTCCTATCTTTTCTACAGTTTTCTTCTAGTTCTTAATCTATACAGGTATGTCTCCCTGAAAGGAAACCTGGGAAACACAAATCCAGTTTACAAAACAGATCAAATAGGGCTGGTCATCAATGGGGGATAAAAGACACCATCTTATGAAATAACTTACCAGTATTCTTTAAAAATGGAAACTTCTCCAGGAAACTTTGCGAGATCCATCAGAACTTCTTTACTTCGGCACTGTCTCAAAGGAAAACACCAAAAGGCCCTTCTGCGGTGCGTATCGTTTTCATCTTTGGAAGCCTGAACAAAACTCAGCTTTTTGAAAGAAAAATACAACACATTCAAAGTATGTAAACATTTTAAAAAGCTGACTTCAAAGGTGGTTTCAACAAACACAGGAGCCATCTTGTAGTGTCCATATATAACTTTTTATTAAGAAAATGAACAAAATACATTCTCTCTCCATATGTACATTACATACAACAGAATTCTACAATTGCAACCGTTCAGCTGATCACTCGTTTATTTATTCACAAAGCAGTGTTAACACATTCACCAAACCTGGGATCAGAAAATTACCTGTACTATAAAAAGAAAAGAAAAAAACCTAAGAGTACATACAGACTGGGCAAAAATAAGATAAACCGGGGAGGATCATGAAGCGACGGGGGAAGACTGCACAGCCCAGCAATGACCCGGGACGCCGAGGATGAGAGGAGCTCTGGCCAGCTCCCGCTGCCACTCCACAGTCCCCTCATGACTGGTTTTGGACCTAGGTCCTTCAGGATACAGCTCCCAGCCATGCTGCCACCAAGGAGGAGAGCAAAGGAAAGAACAAGACCTTGAAAGGGCTGCAGCTTTCGGCTTTACCCACCAAGAGTCTCCTATGGAATACAAAGCTTCTGGATCTTAGCTGAGGAGCAGAGAGCTACATTTTTAGGGGGAGACGTTTGCGCAGTTGTACTAAGGGAACTCTGATTTCCAGGACCCCTAATTCACATTTAGGTTCATTTCATCGGTTTTGCTTTTGCTTTGTTTTTTTCTCTGCTTTTCCTTTGGCCTTTGAAAGTACCTCATTCTTTTTGGGTGTGGGTTTCCTTATGGTCATGTTAAAAAGTCCACCTAAACAGAAAGCTCTTCGTGAGTATGAATATGCTTCAAGTGTCCTTAATGGTGTTTAAGGGCTTAAAAGATCAAATGAGTTTTAGAGATGAAGTTGCCAATAAACCGAACAAGGCAGCTCTCTATAGGCTTCTGGATCATACTCCATATCCTTAGTTCAGGCTTAAAAGACATATATCAAGAGAATTATTTTCAGACTGACCGCCTGGGAAAAGGGCATTGCCTGAGGGAATCCAAAGTAGGGATAGGCACACAGGCTTGTACCCCAGTCCTCCACACATGCGGTAAAACAATGAGAATGGCTGTGTCTGTTTTTTTTTTTTTTTTTAAGCTTTTTCTGGGCTTTCCCATGTGGGGTAACAGAAGAAAGTCAGGAGAAACAAAATGAGTAAGTCTCATCAGTTAATAGTGGTTTTCCTTTTTTATACTTAGTAATTTCCTAAATTTCAATAAGTGTATTTTTATATCACAAAAATCAATAAATGTTTTTATTTAAAAGCCCCATAAAAGAAATTTAACACTCTCCAACTTTCAGCTGAGCTGGCTGCTGTAACACCATGTTTGCAATCTAGGAGATGTTCTAACAAAGAGAAGGGGCTGCCCACAGTATCAATAAGCAAACCGGGAAGACAAGATCTATTGGGTATGGCTGGAGCTGTATTTTCCTTCCCAATCGAATTTCTAGTCCAACTTCAGTTTTGAGGATCTATCTCTAATCTGAAGGGATCTTAATTTCTGTCCACTGAATACTCATTTATAAAGGAAGTAAAAGAGTTCACTTAAAAAATTGTAGTATCTTTCCAAATCTGCTTATAACATAAATATGCCACTTTGGAGAGATGGGATGATGGTTATCACCAAGAAAAAGAGACCCTTGTCTTAGTGGATCCTACACTCACCTTCAGAGGCTGCAGATTCAACTTTAGGGAAGCTGAAGTGGTGACAGAGAAGGAATCTCTTTAAAAACAAGAACAACAAAATATCTATCTATAGATCCATAAAGGAAATTTGCTCATAGGAAAATGTCACTTATTTTGCAATTGAGCTAAAGACTATACATAAAAGGAAATGAATACTATACTAATTTATTCATTTCAAAAGATACTTACACAAGTCAAAAAAGCAAGGTGGGTTAAAGAATAACACAATCATAGCATCTGGTGGCCAGGCTGTGTGTAATGGTGAAGAAAGGAAGTCCACTTTTATTTCTCTAAATGGCTGGTTTACAATTGAGGGAGAAAACAGT